TATTAAAAACTTTAATTTTGGATTTTTTATTTGGCATCTTTTAGTTTTGCATCTCAAGTTCCTATATTTTCTTTCTTATGCACTCTGTCATTTGTCATATCCCTCTTCATCTAAAATTTTAATTTGGTTTTTTTCATTGGGCATATGTTTTTTTTAAAAATTAGACACTGGATATGGTGATATTTTTTTAAAAAAATATATTTTATTGATTTTTTTTTACAGAGAGGAAGGGAGAGGAATAGAGAGTTAGAAACATCGATGAGAGAGAAACATCAATCAGCTGCCTCCTGCATGCCCCCTACTGGGGATATACCTGCAAACAAGGTACATGCTCTTGACCAGAATCAAACCTGGGACCCTTCAGTCCACAGGCTGACGCTCTATCCACTGAGCCAAACCGGCTAGGGCTGGGCATATGTTTTTTTCTAGTGTTTTATCTTGTGCTTTCTTTTTGTTTGTTGTCTTATTGATCTTTACAAGAATGTTATTTTCAGTTTTTTTATTGATATAATTAATATTTGTTTGTTTGTTTGTTTATTTATTTATTTATTTATTCATTTTCTTTGTATTTTACCTTATGCTTGTCTTTTTCATTTATTTTACCCACCTTCATCAAGAATTTTTATTACACATTTTCATTTGCCATATTTTAATTTTTTAAAATTGTGTTTCCTTATATTTTATGTTCTGCTTCTCTTTCTTGTTCCTTTAGTTGCTCTTTATCAAAAGTTTTCTTTATTTTTAACATAAACTTACTTTACTCTTTTTGGCCGCACAAACATTTAAATTTGTTGTTTTAACATATAATTAAAAATAAACAATATTTAACCACTGCACAAAAAATTGTCAAAATTCACAACATTGTACAATGGAGAAGCACTTAGGAAAAGCTCTTTTGTTTTTCTTATTGGGCATACATAATTTTTATATTCAGTTTTGTGTTTTTTTTATATTTTATCTTTTACTTTCTCTGTCATTTGTCTTATCAATCCCTATTAAACATTTTTATTTCATTTTTTCATTGGGCATATTTTATTTTTATCTAATCCACTGAGCCAAACCGGTTAGGGCCAAATATATACTTTTCAATGAATATTTACTTGTTTCTGTCTGTTAATATAAATATTATAATCCTCACCTGAGGATATTTTCCCATTGATTTCTTAGAGAAAGTGAAAGAGAGAGGGAAGGACAGAGAGAAATATTGATGTGAGAAAAACACATTGATTGGTTGCCTCCTGCATGAGCTCTGACCAGGGCCAGGGCCAAGGAGGATCCTGCAACTGAGGTATGTGCCCTTGCCTGGAATCGAACTTGGGACCTGCTGGCCCGCAGGCTGATGATCTATCCACCGAGCCAAACCAGCTGGGGCTCTGTTAGTTTAATATTTATCAAAATCATATCTGCCTTGTTTAGCTTAAATGTGTAAAAGAGTCTTAATATTGTCCCATGTTTTTCTTTTTCAAAATGGCAGCTGAATAGGCAGAAGTATAGTGCATCTCCGCCTGGGGCAAGGCTGGAAAAGCAACGAAATCAGAGAACATCCACTTGAAATGAACAAATTAGAGACAGCTGAGGAGACAATTTTCAATAAAGAGGGCAGAGGATGCATAGAGAATGCTGCTTTCCACCATAATCTGTGTGGAACCACCACACATGTCCTGGCAGTGAGTGGCACAGTACCTCTCGGCAAAGTTGTAGCGATCACAATACCAGCTATCAAGCTATATTATAAAGCCACTGTTCTCAAAACTGTCTGGTTCTGGCACAGGAACAGACATATAGACCAATGGAACAGAACAGAGAATCCTGAAATCAACCCAAGCCATTATGCTCAATTAATATTTGACAAAGGAGGCAAAAGCATACAATGGAGTCAAGATAGTCTCTTCAATAAATGTTTTTGGGAAAATTGGAGAGATACAGGTAAAAAATATATGAAACTAGACCATCAACTTACACCATACACAAAAATAAACTCAAAACCCATAAAAATCTTAGGAGTATCCATAGGCAGCAAAATGTCTGATATATGTCATAGCAATATCTTTACCGATACAGCTCCTAGGGCAATAGAAACTAAAGAGAAAATAAACAAATGAGACTACATTAAAATAAAAAGCTTGTGCACAGCAAAAGAAACCATCAACAAAACAAGAGAGCCCACTGCATAGGAGAACATTTTTGCCAATGTCATATCCAATAAAGGTTTAATCTCCAGGGAACTCATACAACTTAACAAAAGGAAGATAAACAATCCAATAAAAAAAATGGGCAAAGGACTTAAATAGATACTTTTTGAAAGTGGACATACAGGAGGTCAAGAGACATATGAAAACATGCTCAAAGTCACCCCCCCCGCCAACACACACACAGCTGATATACCTCCAGAACTCCAGTTGCTGCCTGTGGGAGCACAGTGGGCAAAGGACTCTAATAGACACTTCTCCAAAGAGGGCATACAGATGGCCAAGAGACATATGAAAAAATGTTTAAATTCACTGATCATACAGAGAGATGCAAATCAAAATGACAATGATGTATCATCTCACACCTGTCAGAAGGGCTATCATCAACAAATCAACAAACGACAAGTGCTGGAGAGGATGTAGAGAAAAACTGGGGATGTAGAGAACACTCGTGCGCTGCTGGTGCAGCCACTTTGGAAAACAGTATGGAGTTTCTTCAAAAAAATTTAAAATGGAACTCCCATTTGACCCAGTAATCCCACTTCTAGGAATATATCTCAAGAAATCAGAAACACCAGTCAGAAAGGATATATGCACCCCTATGTTCATAGCAGTACAATTTATAATAGCTAAGATTTGGAACAGCCTAAGTGCCCATCAGCAGATGAGTGGAGTAAAAAGCTGTGGTACATCTACGCAATGGAATACTATGCTGCTGTAAAAAAGAAAGAACTCTTACCATTTACAACAGCATGGGTGGACCAGGAGATCATTATGCTAAATGAAATAAGCCAGTTGAAAAAGAGAAATATAACATGATCTCACACATTTGTGGAATATAATGAACAACATAAACTGATGAACAAAAATAGAGCCAGAGATGTGGAAGCATCAAACAGATCCTCAAACCTCAGAAGCAAGGCAACAGAGGGTGGGGGCAGGGGGTGGGTAAGATTTCAAAGGACTTGTATCCATACATATAACCATAACCATAACACTGACAGTAGGGGGGTGAAGGCATGTGCTGGGGCACAGAAATGGCCAGAGAGAGGTCAATGGGGTAAAAGGAAACATATGTAATACTTTAAACAATAAAGAATTTTAAAAAATATTGTCCAATGGATGGACAGTTATATTTTGACTAGAGGCCTGGTGCACAAAAATTTGTGCACTCGGGGTGGGGAGGGGATCCCTCATCCCGGCCTGTGCCCTCTCTCAGTCTGGGACCCCTCGGGAGATAACGACCTGCTAGCTTAGGCCTGCTCCCAGGTGCCAGAGGGCAGGCCCAATCCCTAGGTGCAGCCCCTGGTCGGGCTCAAAGCAGGACCAATTGGG